GTCAAACTTGGCTTGTAGGTGCGATATAGAAGCAAGAAGCGGGTCGGAATCTGTGGTGGGTGCAGGGCGGGAGACGGAGTTAACGGGGTATCTGGGGTATGTTTCGTGTATCTTATCTGCCATTTGGGCTAGCTGCTCTAAGCTGTGGTCATCAACGAAAGCGCTGATGACGTGGCACATGGAGGGTGGGAGTTTGTCGAGCCATAGTTGGGCCATGATCTTTTCTGCTAGCTTACGGCCGCAGAGGAGACTGCGCATGTGGCGAAGCATTTGTGATGGCGATCTGTCCCCAAGTTCGACAGTGGTGAATAGATCCCGTAGCATCTTGTTTTCTGATTTTCCTGTCCTACTTATGACGGCCGCTCCGAGGGCGTCATACGGATTTTCCTTAGGAATATCTTCCAACAGGTCTTCAACTTCTGTTGCTACATCACAAGGAAGATGCTGGACAACATAGGAAAACCGGGTGACTTGGGAAGTGATGCGTCGGGTAGCAAAAACAGCCTCAATCTGTTGAAACCATACCCTGGGGTTGCGTGGATTGTAGTCTGGCAAACGTATGCTAATTGCATTCTCGACTAAATTCGCTGAATCAAAGTGCGCCTCCATAATTACCGGGCAAAAGAAACAAAATTACGACGACTTGAAAGAAAAAGCTTTCAAAAAAATATCTAGAAATACTCGGGCTCACCAAATTTGTAGTGGTCTGGCTACCCAATAAGTTAGTTTACCAGGAGTGTGTGGCAAAGAAATAAAAATGATTACGCTAGGTTGGGTATACAAAAATAAAGAAATCAGACGGAACAGACTCAACTCTCTTTAAAATAGTTCGTCGTTGGCCCAGGTCAGCGAATGAACAATAATCCAATTAGGTTGGTCCAGAGGTCTTTTTCTGAACAGTTCCCACATATAATAGATTCCGAAGATGTCTGAAATGTTTTGGTACCAGAGTTAGTACATGAGACTCGCGAATGACCGCTGCAAGCGCGAGCGAAATCAGAAGAGAGAGTCGAAGCCCGTGACCACGCTTGTATTATGTGAAATTGTACAAGTGCGCGTTTTTGTAGTTTTTCGTATTCAAACAAAAAACGATTATGCAACTGATGAAATACGTAGTGTTATAATGGAAGTAAAACAGAGGTACAAAACGCCAAAAGTGCAATTGCTTGTCTTCCACACACATTACGGTGCCTGCTTGTTTTTGTCGCTCCGTGGGCTGCTTGATTTCCCTGCTGCGCTTCTTTGTGTGATTTCCAGTTAGTTTTTAATGTCACTGAATTGTTTTCCCGGATACAATTTGCATCGCATGTTTGCACCACAAACTTTACTTCTTCCTCCATGGGGACTTTGTATTTATTGTTTCTAGCAGGCAAAACAATATTTTGCGATACATTTTTAACGCCTGCTTACCGAATATTCTTTTACTTTGTACGGCAAGCGTAATGATGGTTTCTTGTAGTACATTAATGTGTGTTTTAGAGCTATATTTTGATTATTGCTAACTTAAGTTGGTGATTCGTCGTCTTCATATAAACATTGTGAAATGCGTCTTATACGTCGTGAAACCGAGAGAACCCCACATCTTGAGGTAAAGTTCTGAAAGGAACAATGGATATCGAAATAGAAATAATACACTTTATAGATTGATTACGATATTTAAGCAGCTAGAAGAGATAATAAGTCTGATCAGTCAAGGTTGGACGTGACTTCATTTGTTCTCCAATGTTTGATACTTTCAGGTCATCAGCGTTCTGCAACGAGGTGAGTTATCGTGGCGGTATGGTGAGGGGTTACTTGTCTTTGGCTACAATTTTTCAACTGCCATAAACCGGACATCACACACCCTTGGACCGCAGACGCTTACTAATTCCTGTCAATGGATAAGCTCGATCCAAATCTGCCTGTTCGTTTTTCGTACAATTGCAGCGAAACAAAAGTATGCACACACTGCTTCACTGTAACACCTTGTCCTGTTACACCAAGGTGCTAGGTTTATGCATCCGAAGATTGTGGCATCAGTTTATTTCATGGCTTCGCTGCATTCCTGATCTTATCGACATTCCGTGTGTACCGTACAGTCGGTTGTACCTTGCCGAAGATCAGAGGTGGAAAGCAACAATCCCAACTACGGTGAAATGAAAATATTTACAGGATGGAACCCGAGCGGAAGAATCAGTGCGCACCACTGCTGTACTTTCTCGTGACCATTCTAAATGCACAAGGGAACTGTCGCCTCGTAAACTGCAAATAGTAGCACCATGGCGTGTGTGTATACGAAAATGTAAAATTGAAAGAGTTTAACAGCGTTACTAGGTGGTGAGCTGGTTCTGTGTCTTGTATATTTGGTTGATCCTAGCCAATATACGTGGTAATACACATTTTTATATAGACATTCGCGTTCGGTAAGTTTCGGTGACGGTTTTGAAATAAGCAGAAAACGATTGTTCGCATGCGTCTGCATTAGAGAAAAGCGCCGCTTAACCTTGTTCCGGGGTCTTGCATGTAGACAGAAGTTGAAACCAATTTCAAACCAATTTTTCAATTGATTCTTTAATTTGTTAGCCTTGCGAGTAAGCCCATTCATATCAACCGATGTTGACCGCAAAAGTATGCAGTCGGTAGGGAATTAACTTCCTTAAAACCAAGTGACGCTTTTGGTCAAGTTAATGACAAATTTCCGTTCTTGTACATCGTTTCATTACTGCTTGAGATGCACTCTGTTTCCAAGTACTATAACTGATTCGTAATGTACACTTAATCTGCCGGCATCCGATGAAACAGGATGTACTTCATTTTCAAACTGAGGCATCTACACGTTGTTAATTTTAGGTACCCAGTCACCCACATACTTGACTGTTCAGCTCAAAGTCACTCACTGGATCACAAGATTTGCTTTTTTCCATACTCATAAACCATGTCAAATTAGGGTGACTCATCGGACATCGATTGTATGTACCGTCTAGTGAGCGTAGCAACAACTCATGTGCCGACATACCCATGCACCAGCAAACGGACCTACATATAGGGAAACCAAACACAGTCAGTTCACACAGTCTCGTGCGCGCGCAGGGAGCAGGAAGTCAACCACTCTCCACAAGTTCACGGACAATTATTGAACACGTGTAGTAGCCATACTGCGGAGAAAACACGTTCCCGCCGTCCGGAATTTCACCAAAGAACTCTCACGGACGATAAGTTCCTCTTTTGACTTGCTCCCATTTCGCAACTAACCACTGTCAACCATAGTAAAAACTTGTATTAGTGCATATACCTTCTGAATTGTATTATGACCAACATCAACAATGCACTAATATAGGCAACTGGTTTGATTCACACGGATGAGTGAAATTACTTAGGTCAGATAGGCTGCACATTAGATCCAGGGAGATGAACAGCTAGAACCGTGATGACAGCTTCGTGCAAAATGTCAAGGTAAAAAATGTCAAGGTGAAAAAATTGGCTAAATATTCAGATTTTGGATATGTTATTTTGTAATTAGCGCCAGGCTTTATTGTATTTCAGTAGCTGAAATCCTTCAGATAATGCAAACACTTTACCCAGGATTCCCCCAGCTGTTTTATTTTGAACTAGAAATAAAGAGTGAATCGAGTTTCAGTCTGTATTTCCCGAGCAGTCCGTCAATCTAATCGACTACTCCATAGCTTCATTACGGATTCCCTGATTAAGAAGAGTGGACTAGATTTTGTTGCAATATAAACCGTGCACCATTCTATATCAGATCGTCACTGACATGTTACGTGTACCTACTTCGCGTGGCTATACATTCACATTACGAATTGATAGATACGGGACCTGGTGTGATTCCTAAAGGAAGAAAGTGGCAGAGTGAGAGAGGAATAATCGGTTTCAAATCAGAAGGAAATGACTGACGTAAAAATCCTTCCTGCGATATTTTTTTAGCTAAATCTGCCGAAGTTGTAGTGTGTAAAAGTTTTTACAGGTATTTTTTAAACTGATGATGGACATAACTGAGCTTTGCGCTTCATCTTAGCAGAGATGTTGCTGCTCGACTTCGTCCAGGTGGATTTCGAAGGGGTATCCACCAGGTTACCATAACGCGATCGGTTAATTCGGCGCAATTACCTCTTGAAAGTGAGGATGAAGATTTTATGGATAGTTCAAGACTATCACTCCTGAGGAATACGATAAATGAAATCAAAAATAGATTCATCCTCCCTTTGGATAGCGAGCTATTTAAATAGAAACCCATAGTTTGGTGGTACGGGACAACCTGAAAAGATGTAGATCATTATGTCCTGGAGAATGAATGCGGGGTGGTGTCATTTTAACCGTTCTCATCACAGGCAATGAATAAACGAATATTCAAGTCAGTATTGGAGGTGCAAATTTCGAACGAACGTCGAACGAAGTCGCTTGGACCAGAGTAAGTAAAACCTACAGCTCAGGTCATTCTGTGAATAAAACCTTGGCCTAGCTTTTCGGTTGCAGTGCGCTTTGGTTGGTGGGTGCTCGAAACAGTACCAGCCCCGGTTAACTGCATTTTTCTTTCGTCAGTAACCTGGATTATTAGCCAGGAAACCGGTCCAGCCAATTTCACTGCGGAGCAGCTGACACTTAGTCCAACAACCGTGGACCAGTTATAAAGAAGTAGTGAATATTGCAATCAACTGCATAACGCATCAACCACGTCGAATGCTAAGCAACTGTAGTTGCCATCTGGATCAGAAGAATGGCCCTACAGCTGTTCCATAATTCCTCAACATGCAGCGTGATTTCATGAGCTCCGCTCGTACCAAATCGTCGTAAACCGTTAATTTCGTAGATAAAACTCTTGTGGTTAATATCTTGAGATTTGAACGGGATTATATAAAATTTGAAAAAAGAAGCCATGTTGGTGTTTTGTACATCGCAGTCAATAACAGGCTAAAAGCAGTATGTCTGGAGTGTTCGCAGTTAGATATGGCGTACGTTGCCGTTAAATATTTCGCCTTTTTTAGAAACTGACTCGAAGGAAGACTGTGTAGCTTATAGCGGCCATACAGCCATTGAAAACAGACAGCTTTCTGGGGAGTTTCCTGCTGCGAAGTCGACACCGCACCATTAGGAACCACGTTTTCAGCAAGCAAAAATTACCAAATAAAATAGAGGCCTATTTGGAGCGCATAATTTCAAAGTTAAATCAATATCTGAAGCATGTCCTCCGAATCTTGCATCTACTAGGCCTAAACAGACTACAACTTCATGTTAGTCTACCAAAGAATAGCAGCAAAAGGGATAGTTCGCTGGTATGGCATACAATGTGAGCATTTGCGTAACCTTGAAGATATTATTTGTGATACTCTTCAGTATTATGTCAGCTTAGTAATGCGTCCATAGCAAATAGCCACAATATATTTTAATCATTCATAATCCCCGGTGATGACTTGAACTTTTCTTGTCCTACTACTGAAGGTTCACCCCTTCAAGTAATCACGAGACTTGACTGTGGGCCAGGCTCATGACCCTCTTCTGCTAATTCACCGGTTGGCGAAAGTTTTCTTCGATAACTGTACGTTTCGGGCCTAGTGTGATGGAGTACCACTCTTTTGAATTCGCCTTACCAGCTACGAATTTGCTTGGTGTTGATTAGAGGCCACGGAGAACATCAATTGGACAGTAATCACACTACCTACCGGTCAAGTTATCTGGAAAGATAAGGACTAAATCACTTAGGCGGCGGAGTGCCTGCTCAAACAATAGAATTAGCTTTACGTCTAATGTGAAAAGACGTGAGAATGGTCCAATCCTACAGAGCCTTGCTGTCCATATGTAAAGTGGCCGATTAATTAATAGGATTGAAAATGCGTCATTGTGGTTTGAAAACCAGCATAGAAAGTCTGTCATCTTTCCAGATCAGCCCACTACAATTTTTGAGGATTATTTAACCTCAAAAGTCAGCGTTCCTGTATGATTCTGTAGTGCACATTACTTGGGGTTTTTCATATAGTCCTTTCGAATTTCTTAGCTTCTTCGCAGAGGATCTCATATGAAGAAACTTTCGGCCTCAGGGACACGTTGCCTACCTCCCAATGCATCGATATTCATTTCGTTATCTAAGACAGTCGTATTGAACTGGGGTACAATGTGATTACCGTTGTAACCGCACTAAACAAACATAGATACTATCCGTATTTGGTCACCCAGCCCTAGATAAAGCCAGATCTTTATGGGTTCTTGGAGCTCTCGCAAATGCTTCTTACGTTTTTGGTAGTATCGGTTACAGCTACGGCTGACTACTTCAGCGCTTTCGTGGTATTTGGGCGAACGTTTAGTGTCACCAATAGGCAAGGTCGTCAAGCATAATTCACGTTTCCGAAGGCCTCATACAGTTGTAGCATGGTGCATAGAACATTCTTTATGACTCGACCAAGCCCATCAAGATGGGCTTGATGCAGGTCGTGGACTCGTCAAGATATACGTGCAAAACCGCGTTTCAGCGTACTGAAGAATTTTGCAACTAGATAATCTAATGTCAAAATTATCGGAGGCACGCACGCCAGACCTCTCATATTCACCTAATCCGGTTTGTAATTCTCGGTTGGCTTCTGAGGAGCGACAGCCACCAAAACGCCATCAGTATACTTAAACCCGTTGGATTAATCAACAAAGTCATGGAAGCACAAAACAAAGCGAGCGAGAAAACAGTGCCGTTTAAGAGGTCCGCTTCAGCTGGTAGTAACAAGGACTTTTGGTAGACCAACATGCAAAATAGCCGTGCTCAGGCTTGGTCAACTATTACTCGTTGCGTCCTGCGGCGAGACGCGTAGTTGTCATCCCGGTCGAAAAAACTGTAGCATCGGCCACTACTTTACCTTGGTACACTGTTTATAGCTAAATAAATGACCGATTGAGGGCTTATTACTCTATCGTACCAGTATTATGCTTCAAGTAGAATTAAAGTTGACCAGTGACCAAAAATAAGATCCTACTCTACTCTAGGGTACAGCGGAATACACCAAACAAGATTTCAAATCTGTTTTCTTATAACTTTCGACTGGTTTACCTGAAAATCTGAGGGAGTGGATAGCTGTACCATGGAAATCTCCAGTGCAAGTCTACTGCTGGCCTATCCTGATTTCGTGCGCGGCCACCCGTAGCGGAAAGGAAATTGTTAACAAGCCACCTGCTGTACTGGTTTAAATCAGTGATTAGTTATGAACTCCGAGGGATTTTGACTTGCGGACTAAGTCCTAAAACTGCATGAAGTGCTCAGTGGGGGCGAGTTGGCCCAGTGGTTAGAGCGCGAATTTACTGACCATAAGGTCCGTGGTTCGAACGAGACATCTGCTTTTCGGCTTCCCCTGTCTAGGCTTCGGCAAGCTGGAAGTATCACAGCCCTCGTGCTTCCTCCTGGTGGTATGGCGGCTAGGCACCAAAAAGGTGCTACAGCTGAACGATGTATGTGTATGTGTGGACTAAACTATGTAGGATTAACAATGGGGCAGCTACCCACAAATCCGGTTTAGTGTCAACGGCTAGGCACCAAAAGGTGCTACAGCTGAACGATGTATGTGTATGTGTGGACTAAACTATGTAGGATTAACAATGGGGCAGCTACCCACAAATCCGGTTTAGTGTCAACTACCCGTATCCAGCAGTAAGCAAACCATGGGCTAGGTAGCGGGAAGAGCAGCCGAGGATTCACCTGTGAACGACCTAACCGTAGCAATCTGTTACATCACGTCTAAAACCGACCGCCATCCGCATGCCTAACACAAAACCAATAATGGAGTAGCGAGTTCCAGTATCTTTTCACTTTTATTGAAGGAATATTATAAACACGTTTGCGGTGTAAATAGCAATCTCTTACGATAGCAGTCCCTCAGGCACACCTCATTCGGCGTCCAAAGGTGTAGCATTTTTCGCACTGAGCAAAAGCACAGAGACATTTGCACTTTGGCAGTGTAAAAGTTCCAGGAAAAGGACTGTACGAAATTCGGTCAGCGGGAACACAGAACTGCGTTTGTCGTGAACATAAAAATGTGTGGTTCAAGGAAGCCATAAGCTTGATTGGACAGTTGAAGGATAGATACACAAACGAACAGGCTGGGTCATAGCATGTACTTTGCAATGGGTACAACGAGAAAAAAACATGCCGGGGCCGTGACGAATGTAAACGAGGACAAACGGAATTCAGAGGAAGGGGTAATTATGAAAAATACATGATCATTCCCGAAATAAAATATGGTGGTAAGGGTAAAGCGCATAAGTACTGAACAGCTTGCGCCCGACAATAAGGATGACATTATCAATTATCCGATGAATCACTTGGATCTGAAGTGCTCTCCGAATCATCGCCGCTGGAAGACGAAGCGCTCAGTCTATTGGAACCACCTAGGACGAAAGATAAGAGTGAAAAGGAACTAAAAATTCACTCACGTGGTTCCTTGACACTAAGTGTGTTTCGAATACTACGAACATTCGAAGGAGGTTCTGGAGTTTTCGGAAATCGGCTTTCGATTTCTCGGGCCTTGGCTGTCAAAGTGACGTCTCTGGATTTTTCTGGAGTGGTAAACGGGTCCTTCTTCGGCATCTTGCGACTACTCGTCTTCGCATTCCGCAGAACAGTCATGACGTATTGCTCGAGTTCTCGTAGGGTGGTGTGTTGAAGAGTTTCGAAGTCGAGTTCGATCTCGTCAGGATTGCAGTCCCTATGCGATGGCTCGTGCTGTTGGATTATCTGAATAACCTGTCCGAGTTTCTCGCCTGGTAATTTGTTGATATCGATGCTCAACTGCCGTTTCTCATCGTACGTCATCAGCTGTACATTACGTTCGGACATTTCTTGATCGATCTCATATCCACACATGATGGACTGCGGATACTCGCTGACTTCCGTGGAATTCGGAACAGGTACCGTGGAATGGTGAAGCGCTGCAAGACATTGGAGTGGTGCATTGGAACAGAATAAAGCATGGGTAAAAAAATGACTGGAACTAAGGTAGCCACGCTAACGCACCACATAAACTAACCAGCAGGTTGACGATTTTTTGACTTAGATTGTGACCGAGCGCCTTGTCTATGGAAACAATTATGAGTCATTAGAGAGACGCCTTACCTGGAGGTCCCCGTGCTATCGAATGATACATTCGAAACGTCCAGTGCAGTTGCACAGGCAGGTTGTGCAGGAGGCATGTTCGTCACAATAGAAGAAGCTGGGAAGTAAGCGACAGAACCAACGGGAAATACCTCGTTTAGCATGTGAGTTTAGAGTGTCGAGGATAGAGCTCAGTCCCGCTGTGCTGCGTTGTAGTTCATCATTACACTGTTGGAACTGGACAGTAAGTCTTTGGTGTTCTTTTATCGAGTCTTGTATCAGCTGGTCGAGATCCTGATTGTCAGCTGGTACTTTTGATAGAAAGTCCTCGAAAATTCCACTCAAAATCTTCCCGATTTTCCCCACATCACTGGACTCTCCATTGTATTTGTAGCAATTAGTAAAAATTAACCTGACATCTTCGGCGAAGTCGGACCTGGTGCGGTACTGGCCACTGTCCAATTTTACTTTAACAGTGTGAAGATCCATCGGTTTCTTTACAATGTTGTGATAATCATGTAAGCCCATAGATCGTGCGTCCACTGGTTTGATGAAAAAGTGGTTTAACTCCTAAGGACTATTGCATATGAACCATAGAATACCCACCTTATACCGGTAAGAAGAGATCTCACTCAAGATGTTGCTGCATTGTTTCAAGACTGCGGACAAGTGCACAGACTTGTCAGTATTCCGTTCACTGTACTCCGGTTTCAATTTTTTAACCTGATGTGATGAGTATCCGGTCGACTGGACGCTCCGAGGAGGATCACCGAAGCTTTCCATTTTCTTCTTTGATGCTTTCTTGCGTGTACTGGATGATCTGCCATCTGGAATGAGAGTCATGGAAGTCTGTTTTAAGCTTGAAGTCTGAACACGTGACTGATCCGTAGGACAGAACTGCGAAGATGAACCCGGCCTGCTGGATTTGGAATTCTTCTCGGGGTGTATTTTGGTTTCGGGGATGGGCATAGATTTCAGGAGTTCCCTGGCCAACTGTTCCAACTTTACTGCCATGCATACGATGTCGTCTCCAGGCTTGTTAAAAATGTAGCAGTTGCGGAACATCGTGAAAAGATCATCAAAACATTCCACAGAGGAATGATAAAACTTGAGGTTCAAACGCTGCTTTATAGTTCCCAGGTCCATAGGGTGTTTCACAATCTTTGGATAATCCTACCCATTCATGATTGTTATTAATAGGACGTACCGGCAGATTTAGGCGCTCGTGATCAACCAGTCGAGTGAATGGCCATACATATTTCTCCTTCAGCAACCGATTAACAACTTCCTTCTTGATGTATTCCAGTTGATTGGTGGTTTGCATGGAGGGATGTGGTTTGGATGAGTGCGGACCAGGTTCCATCAAGACAGATGAATCCATGATCACCAAAGGCTAAAGTCAGAAAACAGAAAATGAGTTCAGATGAACGAACTGCGATTCTCCGACGTAAAAGCCGCGAAAGACAAGCTCTAGGGAGACGTGCTGGTCTTTTGCCCTTATATTTTGGCGAAAAAGGGACACTTCCTCTAGCCCAAACAGGCGACAAAGCGGGAAAAACAAACGGGTTCTATCATTTCCCTTTTGAAACATGATTGACTTCACAAAATGGATCCAAAGAACTGATGCGATCCACCCAAATATAACGACGTCCTTGGCCTTTGGTAAGCATTGGTACGGTCGTTGTGGTAAGGTCCAAATTAACTGTTGATAATGTTTCACTCTACTCAGTCAGCTTAACTACTATCCTCACATCCAAATAGCTTCCATGAAGGTCAAGCGTGGTTGAAGTGCTGCAAGACAAATCTTATCTATTAATTATCCACACTCATTCTCCTTATAGAACTAAGCGGTACATTTTTCTTCCCTGGATTCTTTGAAAAGGACAGTTCTATTATGCTCAATACACCGGAACTCATTTCGGGATACAATAGAATTCAAAGAGTGACCTTAATTAATTCTGCAGTCAGTAAGAAGTCCGATGTTCGCACTGAGTTTCAAAAAGAAATACTGACAGGATAGACGGTCTAGGTCGAGCGAACACAAAACGCGTACAAAGATCCTAGTGCACCCAAGATTGAGACGAGAGGTCTCCACAAGACAAGAAACTTTGTGAAAGATCTAAACTGGCAAGTTATCGGTCTATTGTTGGAATTTCCATACACCGAGGGATCACAGTTCTCAATATAGTTCAGGGAATTCAGACAAAACAATACAAACGAGGGAATTCCCTTGATGCCCAAGAGAAAGCATATACCAGTCGATTATGAGACAGCACAGATTACCATGGACGTGGTAAGGGGGCGACAGTTTCGAGGATTTGTAATTTGAACCAGGCAGTAGAGATAGAATGGTGATGTTGGATTAATTAAGCAAAATCAAGTGGCGTACGGACCAGCTGCTACACGTGATAGAATCGAAGTGACTTCCTAAAAACGAAAAGTGACTGGTCTGTTCTGCTTGACACGCTTGCTCACCAAGAAATGCCCCGGAAGTTCGTGGAAATAATAAGCTCTTTGTATTCCCAGACTTGGGGGCGAGATGGCCCAAGTGGTTAGAGCGCGAATTTACTGACCACAAGGTACTCTACCTTTCGACTTTCCCAGTCTAGGCTTGGGCAACCTGGCAGTATCCCAGCCCTCGTGCAACCTTCAGGTGGCATGGCAGTTGGGCACCGAAAGGGTGCAACAGCTGAACAATCTTTTGGCAAGTAAAAGGAAGTGCTTCTGAGTATTTGATCTGTCGGTGGCAGGTGAAAAGTGGGAACTTACTGCGACAGAAAAGCCCAAACCACTCTGTCATGAGACTGTTTAGACGCAATCGTCACTGGCCACTGTACCAGCTTGAATACCACACCGTTGGTGGGTCATGGTTAATGCTTATCCCTGGCCCCAGTGCGACCACTCTAAGCGAGGAGCTAAAGGTTGACTGGTGAATGAGGTGCGCAGAAGCTTGCGAGCACGTAGGATTAATATTCCAATTGAGAAATGTCTGGTGGCCATGGACCTGAAAAACCCAAATGATGCGTCGCGCGCTGTGGGTAAACACCGAATTTTACGTGCCTATCGTTTTCAAATAATTATAAAGCGGTTTTAAAGTGAAGTATGAAATTCATGATAGAGAAACTTAATCACAACCACAAACGCCTCCTTTATGATGTCCACAGTGCGTACCAGTAAGTTCTATTTCCAGTGTTACAAGGGATATCCTATCTTGAAGGTATCAACTATCGACTGGACCACTGGAGATACAACTGAGTGTGCACGATAACCATGAAAGAATCTGCCCTCACAGTGATGCAGCGTTTGGTGAAACGCTGTAATCCATCCATCCGTCCGGACGCTACCGAACTGAACAACTAGGCATAAGTCTGACCTACAGGCGGATACACGTTGGATTGTCCAAAGTTGCAACAAGGCCTTCTTCGGGAGACAAGTGAGTCAACAAGCCAATCTCCCCAGCTGTTGTTTGTTCGGCAGAACAGATCAGGACATGTGTGGCGACTCGAGACTGGGCCCATTCACACAATGCATACTTGTCTGATGTGAACCAGATAGTTGGTAGGTGTTATCTGTTACTCTGAATTTGCGAGGAATGTTAACGGACCTGTTGGTTTTAGCATATTTTCCGCATGTGATGGGGGGGCCCTCACGACTGGCGTGGTCGTGCAAAACGTTGTGGGTGTCTGAGAGAACACGCGCGGCCGGCTCCTTTCCTAACTTGCGTAATATCATTGCGCCTTTTGTTCGGAGTCCATCGTGCTCACTAAAAACGTGTACTAAATTGCCGGCTGCACCGGATTCTTCAGTAGGTTTCGCAGACGTCAATTTCGTTGTCTGAAAACATTCTTTTAAATGGATCGACTATTAGTGCTGGTGTTAGCAGCCTTCAGTACAGTTCGGATGACAAATCTAGATAAAGCCACGTAAATTGTTTCGGTGCTTTCACTGTTCTCAGAATAATCACACATCCAAACTATCCTACTTATTGTGTAGTAAATTCAATGTTCTCACATCTAGGACAATCTATTACGCCCAACACCTACATGGCGATTAAGCTTACTGGCAATGGTTGTTCTAACCCACCTACTGTCGGTCTCTGGACAGCCTAATAGCCCCCCGAGTCGAGTACGACACTGAAGTGAACAAAGGTAATGTTGAATATCTGAATTTATATATATATATATATATATATATATATATATATATGTCTATATAAA